CTGTTATAAATTAACAGAAACGGAGTTAATTTTATTGGAATCTATCTATATGGAGACTAGGACCTCTTTGGGGGTCAGGCAGGTGTTCCCTTTTTTCTAGCACCTATTGATGTGCTCCAGACAGAGTAGAATTTCAAAGCACAGGGTTGTATAGGATTAGAAGTATGAGTGTGCTGTGTAATAAGTCCTGAATGAGGGTTATGCATTGTAATTGCTATTATTTTATAAGAGAGAAGGAGAGAGAGAGAGAGAAGCCAGCGAAAGAGAAAAGAAGAGATGGAAAACCATTAAGGACAGAAAAGGAGTATACAGGGTACCCCAAAAGTCACCCCTAAAGTCACCATACATCGGGGAAAGTGGGAAATTGTAGCTAAATGTACCTTTATTTACAAAATATTCATTACAAAATTTTACAAAGAGGTGGCCAACACACAGAATATTTTTTTAAATATTTTGTAAAATTGTATAATGTATACTTTGTAAATCAAGGTAATTTAGCTATAGTTTCCCATTTTCCCTTTGTAAGGTGCCTTCAGGAGTGACTTTCAGGATGCCCTGTAGTTACTGATGTGAAGAATTCTTCCATCACGCTTCTCAGCAAGAGAACGCAAGCTAAAAAAAAAAAAAAATTCCTAGGAATGTCCGAATAAGACATTAGCCCTATAGTGAATGGGGCAGGGAAGTGCAAGGATGGGATTGCAAGGAGGGTCTGGGAGGATAAGGGGAGAGGGAGGAATTGGGGGCACAGAAGAACACTGGCCCAACTCCCCTCCCCAGCACATGAGCAGAGGCTAGAGTGGGCTCACAGCTTGGAAGTGAAGTTCAGCTTTGTAACTTAACCTCCATGATCCAGTGCCAGTGGGCTGTAAGCTCCTTCAGTCAAGTGACCTCGGCTGGTTATCTCCATGGTAACAGCTCACATCCCAAACTGTTCCTTCCTGTGTGAAAGGAAACATTTCAGAAACGAGGGACGGCAGAATGTAACAGTGGTTTTTCTCTCTTATGACCCTTCTCCTTTGGCCAACTGTGTCCTTTTTTCTGAACACTGCGGTCTCCTGAGGAAAGCATGCACAGAAGAGGAGGTTTCTATGAGTTTATTTGTAGATGCGTGGCCAGGACACAGTCTTTAAAGTAGAAGCCTGAATCTGCCTTTCCCTAGGTGCATGCGGGCCTCCGTGTTGCTCAGGGAGTCTCGCCATTGCTTTCATGAACAGCTCCCCAAAGAGGAAGGCCAGTGTGTTGTCCTCATGTGGAAAGAGCAAGGTCAGAGAGGTTGGCTGGGCTCCGCAGAGATACAGGGCTACACGGTAGCAGAGTTAGCCTGAGCCTCTCCCAGCCTCCCTGCCTTCCTGGGCCCCAGCCCAGCCTGAACCACCCTGTGGTCAACCAGCTGGCACGTGTCCCTCTAGCCCTAGGCTCTGCCTCCAGTCCCATGACCCATGTGCCCCATGATTTCCTTCAGCTGGATGCCCTGAAACTTTAAGGTAAGGGTACAAAGCCTACAGTTTAAATTACATTTTAAGCTCAATGTTCTGTCTGTTCCACAATGTCTAAGGTCAAAGCAGCATTTTACAGGATGATAAATGACTCCTCTTCGGCAGAGCCCTGGAAGTGCACGTCTGACCACAAAACCCTCCAATCACAGCTCAGAAAAGCACCATGGGGTCTGCTTTCCAACCAGAATCACGAGCCAAAAGCTCTTGTTCTTTGGCCTGACTTCAGCCTTTCCCGGTAGGTTTGACCCCCTGATTTAGTCCGTGAAAGACATCTTTTTCTCTGTAACATCCCGGACCGACTCTGACGTACAAAGGTGTAATTAGAACAGCACACAGGAGGATACACTTACCTCATCCCTAACATTTAAGTGCTTTTAAAATATGTTTCTAATATCTTAGGTGCACAGGGCCAAATTCCCTTCAGTTTTTCACATGCATGAGTAAATCCACACAGACTAAACCCCTTGGGCCTTAGGTTCTGCTTAGAAGTTCTTTTTTTTTTTTTTTAAGAAAATAAATATTCCATTAAAACGACAAAGTGTACTCTGCATATTTTTAGGACAATTAGAGTTTAGAATTCCCTCTTCTTCCGCCCATGATTAAAAAAAAAAAAAAAGAGAAGTTTTCCTTAACTATTTCCTTACCTAAAATGACACTAAACTCAAATAAATTGAAAGTCTTTCTCTCACTCTCTGTTTTTTTTTTGGCTTTTTCATTTTTTAAAACAATCGTCATATCTTACGTGGTCAAACTGCCAGGTGGTAGACTGGGACCCTTGGAATTATTTAAGAAGGATCCAGGTTCCCCTGCACCATTGCCAGGTAAATCTTTTAGGTATGGGAACATTTGCTCAAAACAGAAAAGCCAAGTTCACAGGAAATAGAAACATAAAGGATACTTTCTACCATTTGCTTTATTAAAAGAGAGGTCATGGGTTTTGATAAATGAAATCATGAAGGAGAGGCTACAGTAGGCTGATCATGCCTCAGCTTCAGGGCAAGAGGTGTGGCAAGGTCAGAAGGGAGGGGCCTGGGAATCAGGTTTAATCAGGAGGAGACTAGAAGAGGAAGGAGGGTCAGCCCCAACTCATGCACTTTGTGCTTCATCGTGATCACCCCTTCAAGTTGAGGGACACTTAGCCATTCCCCGCCCATCAGGCCGTGCTGCTGGGGCCAACCTGTGGACATATTTGCCAAGCCAAATCAAATGTTCTCTTGCATCCAAATTTAGAACATCTTAGAGGCAGTTGCCACGTTACACATTCCAGGCCAAAGACTCCACCGTGACCAAGTTAAAAAAGAGAAATTGATGCAAGACTGTGTACAGCTTGTTTTCCATTCATTGGGAATCATATAAAAGGATGGACAAGCCAAGCCTCACTCACCCTGTGCTTCAGGCAGCAATAAGATATGCCTTCAGGACAGCCTGCTTTTTCAAGAGAGCAAAATCCAGAGAATGTGCCTGCAACGTCTTAAAAATGAAGAATCATATCGAAGCATCAAAGAAAGAACTCATGACTTCCCGGGGGGGGGGAAATGTGTTTATTTATTTAAATTAAAAAAAAATTGTGAAAATTACAAACTGTTAAATACAAAAGACAATTCTGTACAACTCAATAGAATAAGAAGGAAGTATATACATCACCATTTAACAGGCGCAGATAGACTCGCACCGAATTTCAGAATTAAGCAATGGAAAATGTGACAAGGCACATGTCCGTCGCAGTGAAGTTTCAGAATTCAAGTGATTCCAGGCAAGGGGCCAAACTTAACTTGGCTTCTTTCAACTTAAACAGCCCCCTTTGGAGTAAATCCACACTCTGGATTTTAAAGTGAACAGAGGGCCCTTTTCCCTCAAACATAAATTTCCTCTAGCTCTGTGTCAAAGCAGACTGATAAACCAGCTCCTACACTGTTAACCCTTCCCTGGGAACAGTAGTTACTGCTGTGTCTCCAATCCGTGCAAACAGAGTATGTTTTTTTAGGAGAAAAAAAAAAAAGAATTTTTAATGGAATTAAATTTGATCTTTCATTTCCTCCTTGTCTTCAAGGTCCTAACGGATCTGCTATAAAGCTTTTGACCACAGGAACACATAGAGACATTGGCAAGCATTCCTGAGAGTTTTCTTTTAGTGTCTCTTTCCCTTAGCCAGGAGTGTTAACAGCCCACTATCCAGAGAATTTTGCAGAGGCAAATGGGGTGTGTGCCTCTTTGGTTCAATCCTGGGAAAACTACAGCGGAGGTTGGTTGGGAGTTCACCCTTTGCTGCCCAGTTACACGTGTTCCGAGTCTCCAGCTGCTCCTTTAAGTCGGCAGATCCTTTTACAGACTGCCCAGCCAAGGAAGAAGTATTTGGTCCAAGCTTCCTCACACCAGGCCATGCAGGATTTATTACAGAGTTCTGAAACCTAAAGACATCCTCCCAGCCCCCTGGGGCTGGAGACTGTAGGCAGTCTCATGAAGACAGTGTGCCCCTAATGACACACCCAGGACCACACAGCAAATGAATGTTGGCCTTGGGCTCAGGAAGCACAGAACTTGGACCCCAGCTCTGTGCAATCCAAGCCTGAGCGTGCCCTTCTAGGTCGCAGCTACGTGACGAAATACCGTGTTATGTCCTTTCCTAGCTCTGAAAACTAGGCTGGGAAAGTCAGTAGCAGCAGAGCTAGCGGTTTGGCCTTGTTCAACCCCACCACTGCCCCTTCTGGAAAGACCAGGATGAGTCCCTGCACCGCTTTTCAGACGGCAGGATAGATTCTGGGGAAACTCTTCTGATCAAAAGAACATCATGCCAGCCTGCCATGCTGCAGTTCCCCAATCAGAGAGTTCAAGGTCAGAGGTTAGGCAAAAGCTCAAAATAACAGATCATCTCTTATAACCCCAGCCCATGTTAACAGGTTGAAAAGCTGCTTTCTTTTTTTTTTTTCTTTTTACAGTGTGCAAATGGCCTGGGTGCAGATCTCCAGCTTTCTCCCATCAAAAATCCTCCATCAAATATCCCCCTCTAATCAAAAAGAAGCTGGTAACCAGCTGTGAAGTAACGCTACAGGTAGACAGTGGAGGTACTTACAGCCAGTCAGATCTAGAAGAACAAAGCTCTAGGTAAATTAGCAAACCAAAACCAGTCCCTCAGCATGCCCCAGGCACTAGGGAACAGGCAGGTGCTGCCAGAGGGGGTGACCCAGCGCATCCAGTGACAAAATGACAAACGCGTCTCGTGGCCAAATTCCAAAAAGGAAGCCCCAACACCCTGGCCCCAAAGTCAGTGTGCACACTGCTCATTGGGGGGCTTTTCAGTGGCAGGTCTAAACCCCAAGCACTTTGTGGACTGCACACTGCTGCTGGCTCAGCTGAGCCTTGTCCCCTCCCTGCCCCAACTCAGGGGCTTGCAGAGGGTCTCTTCAAAGTGGCAACTGCACTGCAAAAGTGGAACCAGACACTTGAAACGTGTCTTTCCTCTGTCTAAGGGTGCTGAGGCAGCCACCTCCAGAGGTGCCGGGGGTGCTAGGAATTCTGGTGGATGTTCTCTGAGGACCCTTCGCTGCTTTCATTGAGGGGCGTCTCCGAAGTCTCCCCCAGCTCATCGTCAGCCCCCTCCTCTTGGATGGTGAGGTGCACGTCTGGGGAAGAGGACTCGGAGCTCACGCTGTCCCCCTCCATGGAGCACAGGGTGCAGGACAGCGCGGGCGCCACGCTCTCCTGCAGCACGTTCAGCATCATGGGCACCTGCACCGACCTCAGCCCCGACACCATGGGCAGCGGCTTCATGGCCTCCCCCCACAGCCGCTCCTCGTCCTTGTACAGCAGCAGGAGGCTGGCCTTCTTCTCCCGTCTCTTGGATTTCATGTAGCCCAGCATGATTCCAATCAAGAAAATGCCGTAGAAGGACATGACCACCAGGACATAGAAGTATTCGTTCCCGTTGCTGCCACTGCCGGGTGCTCGGGACTCCAGGGGGCTGCTGGAGGCGGCCGTGCCGGGGTGCGTGCTGTTCAGGGCCTCCATCTTCAGCATCGGAGCACTGCCTGCTGCAGGATCTGGGGATCAAGCCACAGGTTAGAGCTGTCCCACGGGTCCACCATACAGGGAGCAAAGTGAGCGCCAGGCTTGTGGGATTGCAATGCCCCCAAAGCTTAAAAATGCATGAGAGAAACAAGTGAGAAGTCTCTGCCAACAGCTGACAGGGGGAGCTGGGAGGGCTCGGCGTGCACAGGGTGGGGGACAGGGGAGGGACGTGTGAAGGACTTTGGTTTTTTCGTGTGTACACATCTGTGCTATTTGTATTTCATAAATTGAGCATGTATTGTTTTGATAATTTTTTTAAAATTTTAATGTAAGGCAAGAGAGCAGAGAGAAAATAAATAATATCTTCAAAATCAGAAAATATATTTCCACTGTCGGAGCAGAAAGAAAGTTTACATTTTGCTCCCAAAGCGAAATGATTTTTAATTCAAAACAAAGTTTACTCAGAACAAAGGAAGTGAATAGAAGAGGAACGGAAAGCTTCATGTATTAATGGTTGGAAAGTTCCTTCTTTCCAATGTTCTTTCAGAAGCAGAGTAACTTACCAAAGGCTGACGATGTGTCCCAAGTTCCGAATCCCTAAATTGTTAAGTCTGAGAGAGATCTCCCTCTGCGTCCGGCTCCGTGCTCTGACAGCTCGGCTTCTGCAGTCCGGATATATAGTCTAGAAATGCATCGTCACGTGTTCTGGGAGGAAAATTTACAACAGAGGTCGATCCGTGGCAGAGTGAGCAGTGAACTCAAGCGCTGCAGTTCAACTCACTAAACTTCCCAGCTGTGAAAAGAAAAAGACTGAGAAGTGAGAACTGCTCCTCCCGCCCCAGAGCGGAGCCAAAGTTCTCAGGTGGCCGCAAAAATGAGCAGGGGAGGAGAAAGGGATGTGCTGGTCTGTGTCCAGTCCCCCAAAGTCCACACGTGGAAATGAGTTCAGAGCCCCCTCCCCGCCTCGAGTAGCCATTCTTGGGTGGACAGGTTTTCGGAGGCACTCAAATCCCATCATCTGGATGAAAGACGGCTGAAAGTAAGGACAGGATTAATAGTCAAGGAACTAGGGCTCAGATTTCAGCTCTTCTGCTAACTATGCAAACGTGATAAATCTTTCCTTAACCTTTCTGTACCTCACATTTCTGATCTCTAGAATTGTGGTGCCTGGGGAGCTTCAGCAGATAGAATTATAAGAACCATGTCACCTTTTGAGTCCTTTTCCATTTAATTATTCTGAGATTTAAGACTGGCAGGTACAGATTTGCCTTTTATTAAAAACACAGAGACATTTTCATGTCGTTTACCTCAAGTTCCCAAACCTACTTTTCCCAATAATCATTTGCGAACTCTTGCAGAGCCTTGTCAGGGGTCTGTGTGAAGCAGAGGTGTTACGGTGAAAGGTGCTACGAGCAGGTTTGGCTCCGTCTGACCACACAGAGCTGCTCCTCTGAAGTACCACACGGAGATTGTGTCACACCTCTTTGCTGTCTCTGGAAGGTCAGGTGAGGAGCTGGATTCTTCTGGAAAGCCACCGAGCACAGTTCAGGTTTTAAAGACCTAGGTAAACCCTGTGTTAAAACAGCTGCGATCAAAATTGGAAGGGAGAAAGAAGCATGGAGAATCCTCAAAGAACTACAAGGAGACCTTCCATGTGATCCCACAATCTCATTACCAGGTATCTACCCAGAAGAAAAAAATCACTTCATCATGAGGACATTTGTACTCAAATGTTTATAGCAGTTCAATTCACAACCTCAAAGATATAGAAATAACCCAAGGAGCCATCAATCCATGGATGGGTTAGTAAGCTGTGGTATATGTACGCCAAGGAATACTATTCAGTGATAAAAACAGATGGGGACTTTGCATCTTTTGTATCTGCCTGGATGGAATTAAAGGACATTCTCCTCAGTAACGTATCTCAAGAATGGAAAAGCAAACATCCCATGTACTCAATACTAATGTGAAACTAGTGAACGAATGACTATCAGCCCATATGAGAGAAAAACACAATTGAATTGAAGATAGAGGGAGGCAGTAGGGAGGGAGGGGGTGCAGAAAGCTCCCAGGGAGCCGTACAGTGTGTAGGGGTGTATGGCACCCCTTCTGGGTGAAGGACTCGACTGCAACTCGGACTTTACCTTACAAAAACAATGTAACCTAATTATAGGTTTCCTTATGTTAATCCAAAATTTTTAAAAAATCAATTGGAAGAGAAATTGGGGACTTTGATGTCTGTCCCTTTGCTCCCTGGACTGCTTACTCTGAGAGGCCTCCATTCTCTGCCCCCGGTTGCCTGTGAAGAGCAGCCAGACTGCCTTGCAGGCCTGCTCTAAAGGGAGCATCCTTGTGGTTCTGCTGTTATCAAACTAAAGCATGTCCTCCAACTGACGGTTCGGAACACTCACAGCTCAAGGTACTGGATCATCCAGTGGTTCTATAAGAACCTGCCTGGACCAGCACCTGACCCTAATTCTAATAGGACCCATGGGAATGGTGGGGGATGCACACACGAAGCTGCTTTTCCCACTGGACTGCCCATCTCATGCTCTGGCTGCCCCACAAATCCCCCACTAGCAATGAGGTAACAAGCACCGACCCTTCCAACACCAAGTTCATCCCCATGCTAGAACTTTGCTCACACCCACCAAGACGCCCTTGTAGCTGCATTAATACTTAAAAAGCTTCACAGCCACCTCAGCCATGGTGCATTTTTCAACCTACATCTTTTCAACCCTTATCTCATCCATGCATGAGAAGACTTCCTTCTGCATCCAAGCCTACTGCAGCATGTCTAGGATGCCAGAATAAGACCCAGATTGACGCTGGGTCAGTACTGTTGACTGCATCTATTAGGATATCTCAGATTAGCAATCTGCCAGAGATTGTCAAACACGGAAAACTGGTGCCAGGAAAACTGACAGAGGCTAGAGTTTCAAACAAACCCCCAAATCTGAACCAAGTCCTAAGGAAGTAAAACCAAGAAAGGACAGGAGTGCGGAGACAGATCTAGACAGAAGCACAAAGGACATATCAGCAAGTCAGACGCATGGGAAGAACAAAGTCCAGTGCAAGAAGCAGGGAGGGAAACACCAGGTCAGAATCTGCCCGGTGCCTGTGTGGGGTCACTGCTCTCTCTGATTCCCAGTGACGCTCTGCTCTGACATCGCTACTGGAGTTAAATAAACAGATGCAAGGAAAGCACTTAGCCCGGCATCTGGCAGAAGGAGCATGCCCAGGTCACACTTTTGTTGTCACTGTGGGAGTGCCCGGCTGCACCAAGGGCTTGCAGCTGCTTGCTGGTGCGCCTGGCCTGTCTTCACTGCACTTTCCCCTTCCTGGCACCTGCAGGAATTGACTTTAAGCTGTGGGGACTGTGGCCCCTCATTCATGACAGTATTTGAGAATGATTACAGCAAATAATGGCATAAATAACAATGGGGATGGGGGGGTCATCTAGAATGTACATTGTAGATGTACAGGGAAAGGGTGGGGACATGCAACTACTAACCATAGCTCCACTCAGCCTCAGTGTTAGGAGACACCAATGTCTATTGTGCACCGTGCACACATCAGTCTGGTAAGCATTATTGTAACCATTTCATAGATAAGAAAACTGAAGGCCAGAGAGGCTAAGCCAGTTCCTCAAGGCCATGCCATTGGTAGTAAGTTCATTCTCTCTCCACTCCCCTTTGTCTCACTGAACAGGATCTGAGAAAGGAACCAAGAGAGAGTAGGAAGTGAAAGATGGGCATGTTTCCAAATTCTTTTGAGTCTTCCTAAAGCTTTGGTTAAAATATATATACATGTATATATATGAATTCTCAAATGGCCAAATATTCAAACACAAATCCTAAATGCAATTACAATTATGCTATTTTAAGTATCAGCGGATGCGGCAACCTCAGCATGTTCTAGAAGTTACCGTGAAGCTGTCCTACTCTTCCTGTATTCCTGTTCGCCAAAGTGCAGCAGTTTCCCTTCGCTTATCTGGGGATAAGACTTCTGGTCTCGTTTTGATGTGTTTTCTTTTTCTTTCTCTTTTTGTTCCCTCCTCCTTGATCCCGACACACACTTTCTCCCGAGCTTCGAGTACTTTCCTTTCCTGGTAACGTCATTTTTACCAGATGAGCCTGGCCACACATCTCTGAAATTATATTAATAACTTCTGGGACTAAACAAAGTCTCTGCTGGGATAACAGCACAGCCGTGAATCTCATCAGATTCAACGTAAGCCTGGAGTCCAGAAAGCTGACCCAGCTCAGCCTTGCCTGTGCTACGTGACTGGCTCGGTTGCATAATTTCTCCGTGTTTCAGTTTTAGCCACCCTCAGGCATGTCCAGGGTAGGCTCATTAATTGTCTGAAGATCCTCAGAAATGTCCCACGATCTTTCAGGCTGTCCCCCTCCTAGGCAGACCAGGCTGTGGGTCTGGCAGAGTATTGCAAAATGAAGTCCTCCATGCCCACCACGGGCTTTGCTTTTCCCAGAAGCTCTTTCTGAAAAGTTGTGTCTGGGAACTCAAGCGGTGGGTCATCCCTTCTGAAGCTGAGTCACCCTCCCTAGACACATGCTTCTTCTTAGTGTTCCTAGCACTAGGAATACAACAAGGCTGAGAATCTGGCAGGTAGTTCACAAGGCCCCCAGGCCCTCCCTCTAACATCAGCTAGGTCTCAGGAGGGGGAGGCTATGAGCAAGTCCTGCTCAGACACCAGCCAAAGGAGCTTAGGATGAAAGAGCCCAGCACTTCTGACACTAGAGAGAAAAGTTGGTATTCACTCTGTACTCTTTTTCATTTAAACATTTTTTCACCTGATACACATTTAACAAACACTGGCACAATACACAAAGTATCTCAGAAACTTCTCTAAGAACTTTACAGATTTTGTCTTACTTAATTTTCATAAAAACCCCATGCGATGGTCTCCATGGCGATGCCCATTATACAGATAAGGAAACTGATGGACCTAGTGGTTGGAGCAGCTGCTGCAGCTCACACGGCCAGCAGGTGATGCTGGCCCAGCACCCAGAGCTGAGCAGAGCAATGAGAGAAAGGAAAGAAAAGATAAAGAAGGAAAACGTCGTCTCTGCCTCTGTGGACCTCAGAGTCGGCTGGGAGACAGATGAGAATCCAAAATTTCTATGTGTGAACTTGGAATAGTGACTAATGTTATAAAAGAAGGATACATAGTTCTTGGAAAGTCAGTAGTAGAGGGATTTGAACTCATCAGAGAAAATCAGGGAAGGCTCCCTGGAGGAAGTGATTTTTGGGTTGGGACCTAAAGATTGAGTAAGAGTTAGCCAGATGAAGCAAGAAAGTAAGAGTTCACCCCAGTGGTGATGTGTAGAAAGACCCTTTGGAAATCTGCCAAGCCAGCGAGGGGTGAGCGGTGTGGGAGTCTGGTAGGAGACAGCTGGAGAGGCTGAAAGGGCCAGATGTGGGGAAGTGAGGGCAGGACACAGAGGAAGCAGAAGAGAGATCCCTTTTAGGGAGAAAACCCTAAGGCCTGGGGTAAGTGAGTGAGAGTTCAGGACCAACTGAAAATATAATTACTGAGGACACAAAGTACAAACTAAGGTTGCTCAAAGGGCCAAATGTGTCTGCGGCAGTCAGAGGAGGGAGGGAAATGAGAGGGAGCAGTTGATTGACTTAAGGAGTGTGTTTACGAACTAACCCCTGAGACATCAGCTT